AGAAATTTCAAAAAGATGATTGAAAAAATTGACAAACACTAAAAACAAGTGACAAAAAATTCAAAAAAGTGAGACAAATTAAAAAAATTACACTGCTTCAAAAGAAAGTTAAAGACAATAAAAAAAAAACTGAAAATTAAAAAAAGTGACACAAGCTCTAGTGGCAAATACTAAAAAAAAAGTGACAAAAATTCGAAAAAGGTGACAATTACTTAAAAAAGTGACAAAAATTCAAAAAAGTGACAGAAAATAAAAAAATTTGATGAATTTAAAAATTGACACAGTTTAAAAAAGTAACAAAAAAAATGACAAACACTTAAATGAACAAAATTCAAAAAAAAAAAAATGACAAACTCAAAAAATTGTCTCCAAGTACATTAACATCGTTTGTCACTCTTCTCATCCTCCGAATCTCTTTCTTCTTAGGCATTTCATTAGATAATGTTTAGCAACTCCTGCTAGCAATGAATGGATCAGAGGTGCACCTTCTTCAAGCACAAAACCAGCGGCTTCTGCTAAAAGGGAATCAAAAGCAATTGCTTGTCCTGCCTGAATACAGAGCCCAACAATTTTGTCCACATCAACAATCTGCTTAATGTTTGCTTCTATTTCTCTTCTGCTACCAGAAAGCATGCTTCCAGCAATAGCCTCCATATTCTCATGATTTGACCGCAATGAGGTGTCAATGCAATTTAGGAGTGCCGTTGTGTGCTATTTCATCAGAATGTCCAACTTGTTAACTCCATAGGCACCAAAAATATGAACAAAGCCTTTTAATTCCCTAAGATCAATCATTGATTGGGCAAAATACTCGACAACAGGATTAGTGCTCTTAGCAACTGTGCAATGGTGCAAAGAGGATACCGACACCAGTTCACCAAAGACATCTTTAATGATGGTTTCAACATACTAGTTGCACACGACTTCAGTAGCTGATCTAGTGTACTGCTCTGCTGGTTTCTCAAAATTGTAGGCCATGTGCCTTAACATCATCCTCTACTCTCCACCACGTATATCTTAAATCACTCAACAAAATCCTATCAAATGGAACAAATATTAATGCAGGAATTCCAATAATTTCCAAACAAAAGCAACAAGTGGTACTCCAAAACTTTACCCTCCATTTGCAATTTCATTGTATGGACTGCAAAAACTAAGAGAATGGACAGTTATGCAGAGAGTCTTCATATTTATATAACTGGGCGTTGTTCAAATTTGTCAAATTAGTTAATAAACTTCATAAGGATGCTTCCACAATTTATATAAAAGCCATATGATGTTTATTTATAGACATGAAATTTAAATACATCATGTCTTTAAATGTAAATTTAAATTGCAATTGAGACATTTTGTCAAACACCTTGGTGGTATATTAGAAAATCAAAGGGAAAGAGTGAGTCATTTAATTTTGGAGCTAATCCAAAATTTGATGACAATTTTATTTTATTTTATTTTTATACACAAACTCATCACAATCTATGCCCAAACCTGCTTCAAATATAAATGAACAAAAAATCTACTCAAATTCAAAGTTCAACCTCAAAAACAAAGTTTATTCAATATTACCTTCAAAATCATATGAATATAATTCTTCATGCTTGAATGCCTTCTATACTCACAGATTTTCTCTCGGATAACTTGGATTTATGATAATTTACATACCTTGACCATTAATAAAATCGACCAAATATCAACAAAGATATACCAAATCCAAGCATTTGCAGTGCAAGAAAAGATTTTCACTCAAGACTCACTCCAAAATCACCCAATCGTCCAAAAGGGGAACTCTCCTTAAAACTACAAAGAAGCAACAATATTAAATTGGTGGGTGAGGTTACAAAGAAGTAGCAGTATTAAATTGGTGGTGAAGGTTTCTATCTACAGGAACTCTGGAATTGAAGTCGGAGTTGGGGAACAGAGGTTTCTCGAAAGTTTTTTGATTCAGGAATTCATCCTTCTGGTTTGGGTTTTTGTCGTGGTTTTGAACGTAATTAATACGATAATAGTAGTTTTAGTTAGTTTTTAAGGTATTAATCAAATACTTAATTTTTTTAGAGTATTGCACCTAATTTTCCCAATAAATAATGTGAAAATTATACCACACACCTACTTTTCAATAAATATATGTGATTTACTATTCACATTTTATTAACCATATATACTATTTTTTATACAGTAAAAATGGAATGTGAAAAAGTATTCAAATAATAAACAAATCACCACTTAGCTAAGATTTCTCCATCAAACACGCATTTAAATTCGTATATAAAAAACACTTCCATATCATGCTCAATCAAAGAACAAAATCCTTGAATTAACGTCCTTTCATATTCCACAAAATCCCCAAAACTTCGTCTCTCCCAAATCACTCACCAAGAAATTCTTGTTGTCAAATCCCTAATTTGATCTTCTATGGATCCACCACAGAGGATATTTCGCACCATATCATTCATTCAACCAATTGATTCTTCAGTTTCGTTAATTCGGTACATGTCAAGCATGAAGAACAATTGGAGGACACGGGTAAGAGGCCAATCGAAGATGAAGTTCGAAATTTAACTACCAAAAAGCGAAAGTCATTGCTTTCCCACCACAAACCACGTGTACTTATTTTGGGGTGATTGAACACTGTTTGGTTCCATTTGTTCTTCATTGTACACGATGCAATGTATTAAGTTGTTGAGGATATGCCAAAATATTTGAACTTATGTAGTACGTAAATTCTAATATACATGTATGATGCACAAAATCAATTCCAACACAAGAATGTATTGCATACAAGAATCGAGATATAAAGTTATTCTATATGTAGAATTAAAATGAATATTAATTCCTTGTGATATAATTATAATCTTGAGAATATTTTCGCTTTTGCAATATGTATGTCGATTGAATTCAGAAGATTAATATGATCAGAATTCGTGTTTAGGATGCCGAAACATTTTTGCATTGAGACCAAAATGATATGAATGTCTACGTTCATCATGGAGTGCTTTTTTTCCATTAAATTATGTTTTATGGAAGGTTAGTTAATGTGAGGACATGATATGAGGGAATTTAATTTTGAGCAATGCTTGGGGGACCAGCGCCCCGTCCAATAGGAGGCGCCACTTGGGCATTATGGTGTCCATTATGTTCAAGAAGAATAATCCTTTAATTTTTCATCAGTTACAAATTCGGGTCTAGAATTTATTCTTGGCTGCTAGTATTTTAAACATTTTTAATCATCAATCTAGTATTTTTAGTTAATAATATATTGACATGGTAAGATGTGAATTAATATTTTTTATTGATCTATATATGAATTTTTCCAATAAATAATAACAAATGGACTTGTGCTGAGGTTGGCACAGGGCAGCTAGTGCCTAGATCCGCCTCTGTAACCCAATGTGAGGACCCTAATTGTGAAAATGGCAATGGCACAAGTGATGGCCAAAGGCGTTTAGGATGCACGGACAATGTGCAAATTCGGGTGGGATGAACCAGGACACAATGTGGGAAATGTAACTTTGGTGGGCAAGATTTATTTGATGGAAGCATTGCATGACGATAATTTTAGTACACAGTGGCATTAATCGATGGGTTGATGTGGACATGTGTTCGGCAACATTGAGACCTTGTTGTCTAGCTCGTGAATTCAGTGGAAATTCAGGCACAAGATAAGCATGTGACGGAGATTACAAGGCAGTGTGTTTGAATTGAGGATAATTTCAGCACGTGCGGAGCTGAAAACCTGCAAAATTGACCCTAAGAGTTTGAGGGTGTAAACAGCCAAACGAAATTTGTCTTTAAATTTCTGTGTTGCGAACTTTGAAGTAGAGAGGCAGAATGTGAGGGAGAGTTTGATTGAGGCAACAAGTGTTGTGTTGGCCTTTCATGTTTTTATACGCATCTTTTTGTTTTGGTGAGAAATAAAGTTGGGACGATTTCTAATTTTTTTTTTTTTTTATTGCTTTACTTATTCAATCTTTTTCATACTTAGTCAAAATCATGTTTTCATAACTAGAATAAAATGTGTATTAGCTGATCGAGGACGAGAAAACTCGAAGCTATCTCAGGTTGAACAGATCAACCATGTGACAACTAGCATGAGCCTCAACACAACCTCTTTTACACTCATTAAACATGTTATACATAATTTAATATGAGTAGACTTAATTAAAAGGATGAAAAATGCTAATGGTACATAAGATCCTTTACATAAGGGTGTCCGTCCTCTCACGTGAGGGTGAACCTCACATGAATAAAATATTCGAATGAGCCCCCATGTGAGAGGAGGGACACCTTTATGTACATATAATTATGTACAAGTAACATTTGTCGAAAAGGATAGCTACTCATGTAAATTTTCAATAGCACAAACCTTTTTAAAAAGTTACTTTTCTTAAAAAAAATATTTACGAAACCTGAGGGGTAGTTCAGTGATCAGGCTTTGAGTTTGCTCCCTTTCTTTCAAGGCCATTGAGGTGAGTATCAGACTGTAAATTTCAGGGCTCCGTGAGATTAGTCGAGATACGCGTAAGTTAGCCCGAACACCCACGATCATATATATTAAAAAAAACATTTACGGTATTTTAACTTACAAATAAAATTACTTAAAAAAGGTAAATGGTTTTAAACTTATCCAAACAAGTTAGAGATATAAATTTCTCAAACTATAATTTAAAACAATCGTGTTTGGTGTACACTTTCTTTAACATCATGGTTTACACTTAATTTTCCATATGTGAAAGTGTCATTTGACAGTTTTAATTTAAAAACAACAGTTTTGGAGCCGATCACCTCTTTACAACTCAACAAATGTCAACAACAGTGTGAACTTAGGAATGTAAATTTAAAATCATTTCCTACTCTCAACCAATAAGTGTGGTTAGTGAATTAAACCTGTACGTGGTAACCTATAAACCATGCACCTATTAATAACGCTATTAACTTCAACAAGAAGTATGAACTTACAAGCAACTGCCTTTCAAGTTTCCACTGTTAAATTCCTCATATTTGGAAATGCAATTATCAGACCATCATCACAATCTCTTTCACACACTAATGAGGAAGCCCCAGAGTACACGCAAATTAAATTCAAGAATGCCAGCCTTCAAAGTTTAGACATCTAAGCAAAGAAAAAGAAACAAACCCAAAAAAGGTAGAACCGAAAAAAAGCAGTTGGAATAGTTCCCAAAGAAGAAAAAGTAGGCTCTATGCTTGTGCTTCTTCTTTTTTTTTTTTTTTTTTTTTTTTTTTTCTTTTCTTTAAGTTCTCTGGAATTGTACTGCAAGATCTGAAGCTTCAAGATCTCTCTAGGTTTCTGGTATGGGCACTTTGGCTGCTCCTCCTCTGGTGCTTCCATCAAACCTCAAGTCTAAAGAGGAAAGTAATTCTTTCTTGGTGCAAGGAACAGGGAGAAGGAAAGGCAACAAAACCCAATCTTCAGTCCCTGTAACTTTCTTCTTCTTCTCCCTCTCTCTCTGTAAATCTGTAATCACTTTTTTCTCCCTCAGTACAAGTTAATTTGAAGAGGTGGGTTGGGTTAACGTGTAAATCTTATCCAGGTGGCTAGATTATTTGGACCAGCAACATTTGAGGCATCAAAATTGAAGGTATTGTTCTTAGGAGTTGATGAGAAGCATCCAGGGAAGCTTCCAAGAACATATACACTTACACACAGTGATATAACCTCTAAGCTCACTCTTGCCATCTCTCAAACCATTAACAATTCCCAGGTAATTAATTAAAAAACATCAAAGTTTTCTAATTATACTCTTTTATTCCGTTATTAAAACATGGGTTTTACTGTTAAAGTTGTTGGTTTGAGCCCCATTATTTGTAAATTATAATGTGATGAATAGTATTATTTTTTTTTTTTTAAAATGAGTGGTTGAAAAGTTTTTTATTTAAGTGTAATATTATTTTATTGAAGATTGTATGGTTAAAAGTAAGAGAGAAAAAAATTTAATTTAATGTAAGGAGAAATAATGGGGCTCAAACAGGGGCTTATAGTTAATCTTTTTATTAGATGCTTCTCGAAGAAGAAAAGATACGACATGACTCGCAAGCTGAGTTTATGTTCAGCGATGACAAGATGTTGACTTCATAATGTAAAAACTGTAACTTCGATTAGATGGTTTGATTCGACTATCAGGTTGAGTTTACGTTGAGCCCTGTCAAGTCATTCATGCTGACCAATAATTTTATATAAACATTTTAAGACCGAAACCCCAACCATGTCTACATAACTTTTATGTGGATTTTGGGCAACCAATACATAACCCGACATAGCTCACACGTGTTCAAAATGTGTGGAGTTAGACACTGTCACGTGGATTACGAGACACCAATACTTGTCACCATGGCTCGCTCTAGATTGAACAGTGTCGTTTGATCTTACTTTAGACCACTAGTTTGACCGTCTTTATCGCTAAATTATACTACTATTTTTTCAATATTTAAAGAAGAGAGAGTAGGATTTTGGTTGCAGTTACAAGGGTGGTACAACAGACTACAGAGAGATGAAGTGGTGGCAGAGTGGAAGAAAATCAAAGGAAAGATGTCTCTCCATGTTCATTGTCACATAAGTGGTGGCCATTTCTTATTAGACCTCTGTGCTAGACTCAGATACTACATCTTTTGCAAGGAACTCCCTGTGGTAAGCTCTCCCTATTGATTTTTTCGCAATATGGTAGCATGTTGCGCTTTACAAGATAACACCTCTTTCCAAAGTTATTCAACTTAGTAGACTCTCGTTATGTAATACCTTCCATGCAAATAGAAACTTTATTACTTTTAAATAGAGAAGAATGTTACTGTAGGGATAGTGGTTTGTTTTTTCAGTGAGCCGAACCGAATGTTTTTATCAAGATTAAGCGTTACATTCAATCAAGAGTGTTAGATTTAGTTTATTTGACGCATGCTAAGTGTAAATTTTACTTGTCACTTGTGAACTACAATGTTAATTAGAGTTGTTTGACTTACAACTCTTTTTTATTGGACTGTATGGAAAATTGGGTTGCGGGGACGAATTTTGAAGTCTTATCACAAGTGTTATATTTGGTTTGTAAATTGTATGGAAAGGTATATACGCTATTGACATGAAATTTACAACCCTGTATTCAATATAAGTGAAATGTAGAAGTAGATTTTCAATTTTTTTTCATTGCACTTGGGTCCTCGACTTCTTAATTTTGTAGAACTTAGAGTTGTCAATGGATGGTTTCGATCTAACAATACTGTTAAATGGGATTAGGTTTTGAAGGCATTTGTTCATGGGGATGAAAGCTTACTTGACAACTATCCAGACCTACAAGAGGCTTTGGTTTGGGTATATTTCCATTCCAACATACCAGAATTCAACAAGATGGAGTGCTGGGGTCCACTCAAAGAAGCATCACCGCCATCCCGTGGGGTCAATGGGTCCCACAAATTATATGATGATCATAATCCCCAGCCATGCAAGGAGGCTTGCAATTGTTGTTTCCCACCAATGAGTTTGATTACATGGTCACAAAATGTAAATGGTGGGAGCACAATCAATGGCATGCACCAGAAGCATCAGAAATTTCTCTGGTGGTGGTTCTTTATATCTCTTTCATTTGGATTTAAAATTTTGCGTAAATGTAAATAGTTATCTATCGACTATGACCTTGTACGTACACTGGGTGTACTGGATTGAACAAAATTAAACAAGATTACGAAAGAAAAGTATCGAA